ACGACAATTGACAGCGAACTAACGTACCTGAGATGGCCGTTTATCTTGTGCAGTGGGCGTGGTTTAAACTGAAGTGGCGTCACACTTATAAGCCGGATACTCCATGTACTGTGTGGACTCCGCGACAAAGTTCAACACAAAGAGCCTCGATTTCGATGAAAATATGCGTAGACGGCGTTAATGTGAAATCCCTCTATTAGCGCCGTCTGCTCATTTCTGCATCGAAGCTGAGGTTCTCTTGTGTTGAAGTTCCTCGCGCGCACCCGCGGAGTCCACACAGTACATGCAGTATCCGGTTCCTAAGTGTGACGCCACATCAATTTAAACCACGCCCACTGCACAAGATACACGACCAACGCTGGTACGTGAGTCCGCGAATTGCCGTTATTTTAATTTATCTTTGAAATGGTCGGACCATTACTTATTAAACAAGGGCTACCCCAGACCTAATCTTACTAACGGAAGCCAAGTTAAGCTGTTGTTTGACTTCCATCAGAAGAGTGATCTTCAAACTATCAAAGTAATCCCTAAACCCATGTTCAGGTCTATTTTCAGTATCTAGTCACGATAATCTGCCGCCATCCTTCATATTGAATAAGAACTTATTTCAACATGCGTATTTTCTAGTCAACAATCCGCAATATGCACAGCTTAGAAATTGGCTAGTTTTTGTTCTTGGACCTTGCTTGCTACTTACAAGTCAAACTTCGGGTTAGTTCCTCTCCATGCAAAAGGCAGTAGTTTTGATAGCATCGTTTACGTAACTCCATCATCCACTGTGAATATATATAAAAAAATTGACCTTAAAAAAAATTGCTTCATTTGTTTTTGGAGTGGGCCATTGCCTGTTAGACAAGGGTCCCCCGGGCCTGTTCAGTAGTTTGACTGGCTTTCACAAACAGAAACAATCCGAATTTGCTCACGGTTCAAATACTTTTCACAGAAAGGTTTTTATCCAGAAATATCTAGCAATTGTCCACCTACACATATTATTTTACAATAATAAATATAACCAACAATGCAAAAAAATATATGTTTAGGTGAATTAATCTTCTTCTATCAAATGAATCTCATTTCCAAGTTACTGAATAAATTAACGTAAATCAGAACTCATACCCGGAACTTCCGAGTGTGATTATCACCGCTGATATGATGAGGTCTCTCATTCCGTTGGCGTGGGATCCGGCCACCTATACTGGGTGGTCAACGATATTACCTTGGCCTGGGCCTTTAACTGTGGCTCGCGTAATTTGACATTTGCTGCCACAACCTTTGTGTTTGTTATCCATTTGTACAATGTCACCGTTCTTCTTTAATTTGTTGGGAAACTGTGACTCCCAATAGGGTCACTGCCCCCCTTCTCATTCTCAAGAGGCAATCGACGGCGAAGAATCCGAGTCCGGTAGTACCGATATGGGCACACTATAAAACGCATCATACAATACACAGTACTCAAGCATGTCAAAGGTCACAAAAGAAGAGAGCTAAAGTTAGGCGTCTATACTATTACGATCATTTTCAAAAGTAACAAACTTCAACGGTTAACACTCATAAAGTCTGGAAAACCTAGCATACGCTCCCACAACATCTGTCCAAACCGAGGAAAAAAGTGTAACTCCTGCAACAAGCACTGAATGGGACTCAAATTTACGACATGCCCAACGTGAAACTTTACCACGATACATGGGAATCCACATGACATGACATGGCAGAACTTATGCATGTGGTGAAAACTAAAATATGCCCAACAAGATTTCCAAAATTTAAGTACTGGAATCACCATCACTATTTATCTGACAACAAAACGAATAATGTCAACTTACATAAGGACATGCGAATACAGAAACCAAAGGTTTGAAACTCTATTAATTAACACTCATCTTTTAGAGGTATTTACACAACGAAAACACTGTCACATTGCAGAAAGGTCCTGTAAGGTACCTACATGTGCAATGCGCTACAAAGTTACAGCACACCTCTTGCCTGTCCTTTGTTAGAGAAACCCTTTGAAAGGAGGAAAATAACAAAATAGCCTCCTGGTCAGAATTTGTTGAGATGATGCACATCCTCTGTCAATTCGAGAAGAAAAACTCGAGTTTATTTAAGTTCAGACGTTCGTCTAAAGTTCGATTGAAGAATTCGTACACTTCGCAAATATTCAACGGTGAGCGGTTACCCTTTTCTTACCAAACAGTTCACTAACCTAGATATTGTTTTGTGGGTTCATTTTAATTTTACATCTCTCCCCTGAATTTTGAAACCCAAATGCTTTCTCACGGTGTCATGGGGCAATTTCAACAATTTCAGCAATGGCGCTTATAAATTCTCCAACACCTTTCAAAGATCTGGTGATTCACCTCTCACACAACATTAATTACCTGCAGTCCAATGACCCTCCCTCATCAAGAACAGTGAGGCTTTATGTACCCGAAACTTGAGTTCCTTCTCGTCATTTGTTTCTCATAGTGGTTCATAATTTGAGGAATTTGGAGAAATGAGAAAAGTCCTCTTTTCCCTTATAAGCCAAATACGACAGCGAGTTAGTTTCAATCAGAACTTGACGTGTTACGGTGATCATGACAGTGTATTAAACTTTTCAACTCAAGGTTCACGCAATAACTGTTTATACAGTGTGATAAGGTCTTGAAATTTGAACTCAATATCAAGTGGGCAAATGGCGCGATTTGTCTCCAAGTTGTCACCACCAGTATCTCTTTGTGCTGCCGGTTGTTATTATAAAACCGATGGTCGAGGCTCTTTCAGTCGAAGAAAAGCAGCAATTCCAGGCCCAGTGCGCAAGTGTTGAACGAAGGAAACCAACCGATTATCTACTCGAAGTAAAGCTGAAATCGTATAGCTCTGCATTCTGCGATACACGGATATTGTAAGGTGAATAGGATTTTGTTCTGTTTTTTGTTGTGTCTGAAACACAACCATGACTATTTCGTCAAAGGGAGAGAGCACAAGACGCAGTCAGGTCACTATCAGACTAATAGCATATATTCAGACAATTTGACGAGATTTTGAAAGTTCATGTTTCGTAGCCGGAACAGCTTGGTAGTTGGACAATGCATTTGATTGCTATTTGTGACATCCCTGCTAGAATCCCAAGGTGACAATATTGCGCTCTGGTTTGATTTGCAAACTAATTGTAAGGGTACCTCCATTTTGTTGTTGTAATTTGAGATTTTAGAGGGAGATATAATGCAAGGCCCTGTCTTGCAACTTTCATAGAAAAAAGGAGAAATATAAAGGTTACGTTGGCTTCGCTATACTTTTCAGCACAGAGCGGGACAGTGGCAATCAATAGCCAACAGTGGTGGCTTCTCGCTTGATGCGTGATATGATCATCATACTACAAAAATAATTATCAACAGCTTAGCTGCCACTACAGAAGCTGTGGTTTGTATCCCGGCACCTGCGCCAGATTTGTCTTTTGTGTCTTTTTCTTGTTGGCCTTCAACCCACAGAATTCAAAATGGAAGCGCTGTCTGCGTGGAGGGTTCTGGATGCACGGTCGCTTTTGCTGGGCACCGTGGTACTCTTAGTCTCGTATCGGTTCCTCCGTCGACCGCGGAATCTGCCGCCTGGTCCCTGGGGTTGGCCGATTTTGGGTCATCTCCCTCACATGATGGCGTCGAGGGACGGAATTTTCAAGTTGTTTGCGAGACTGACTACAAGGTATTTTTGGTCTGTTTTCCTCAGAAAATAATTGCGTTTAATATACCACACTCTTTAGCGGGAAGAGACTTGATTCTAAGGGGAGTGCTTGTACAACAAAGAGATTCTGAACCAACAGCTGATACCTTGCGCAACTTTTTCCTGTTGACTACACTTGCTACCTGCAGATGCATACATAATTCATCACTTGACCAGACAAAATCACGCTCTGAGAGCCCACACTCCCGTAACCCTCAAAATCCCTGCACTACCCATTCATTGCTTAGGCTACTTTTTGGTTTTACAGATATGGTGACGTTGTGCGCATCAATCTGGTCGGAGTACCCATGGTTATCTTGAAAGGACTCGACAGAACAAAGGAAGCTTTCTCTCAGTACCAATTCAGTGGCCATCCTCCCCTCTTATTAACCCAGAGCATTGCTCCAGGAGCAGGTGAGAATCGGTCTTAACTTGTTATATACGCATGTACAATCCTAAGTAAGTTTAAAGTTGAAAACCTCTTGTTCTGTTAGTCATAGGCCTATTTAAACCCGCGTAAGTTTTTATGAAAGATAGAAAAGGTGTTTCTGGAGTTTTAGACTAACTCAGGTAAATTAATCATGACACCCCCTACCCTGAAGCCAAGGCGCTCTTTGTCCGAATCTACATCCAATAGCAGATCATCTGCATGATATTGAACAGCCCCCTCTTGCCACAGGTTTGAGCCCGGCCGGACATAAAGTCATACTTAATAGTTGAGGCGACGATGTCTATATTTGTCGTCCATATTGCTTATGGACTAAAGGCGCCTCTCCACAAGTACGTTTTTGGGTGCATTGCGTACATGAAGCGTTCATGCCTGTCACTTTCAAGGACACATCGACTCCATTAACATGACGCACGTGTGCGTTGCGTTTGCCGTTAAAATCGCCCAAGATGATCTTGACGGATACGCAACGCTTGGCGCATATGGAAAGGCGCCTTATTAGTCCCCGAGGCATGTAACGCACGTATACCATCTGCCCACGAGCGTTGTGGCACCGGAGTCATGGCTTCTTATTATATGTCAAATTACACTCTAGAACAAGGAACCAGCCTTACCTTTCTGGCCGTCTTATTTCAACTTGATATTCGATGTGTACTTCCTATGTGACCACGATTATCCACGGATATCCACGATATTCGTGTTAGCACGAGCAACACGCTCGAAAACATACAGCCAATATTTTATAGTGTTATGCTAGATTAATTTAAGAAGGTGCAGGGGGTTGAACGCTTCAAACAACATCGGATGCTACTTACAATCGATCGTTTATGTTGAGTGTTAAATCTAACTACATTATAGTTTTTTCGCTTGGCCAATTCGTCAATCGAATGTGGCTGTTTTCCCTTTTGAAGGACTTTTTGGATCGTCAGGTGAGCAGTGGAAGGAAATACGTCGTTTCTGTATGACCGTTCTCAGGAAGTTAGGAGTCGGCAAGTCCCGGTTTGAACAGGACATTTCCACCGAGGCTCAAATTCTGGTCGACGAACTCAAGAACTTTAACGGCAAAGCATTCGATCCAAAGCACTTGTTTGGCAACGCTGTTTCGAATGTTATCTGCACGGTTGTGCTTGGTAAGAGGTTCCAATATGCCGATCCCACTTTCAAGCATCTCCTGAAAGTCCTAAATAATTTGGTGTCGGACAAGGCAGGAGTAGAAGACATTTTCGAAATGATGCCGGTGTTTGCAAAACTGAAAATGCTACCGCTTGTACGAAATTACGTGAATGCGATTGAGAGTTTCTTCCGTCACATCAATCTGCTTTTGAAAGAACACAGGAAAAGGCAAAACATCGATGATCCTCAAGATTTCATTGACATTTTTCTGAATGAAAAGGAGACTAAGGAACGCCAGGGGACCAAGTCCTCAGTCTTGCTTCCCGAGAACTTGAAGCGCATTGTGGGTGACCTGTTTGCGGCTGGATCTGAGACCACTGCCACTACACTTCGCTGGGGGATGCTGTACATGATGGCACACCCAGAGATACAGAGACGAGTCCAGAAGGAGTTGGATGACGTCACTAGTCGTAATCGTCTGCCAAGAATTTCCGATAAGCCCGAGCTGCCTTACACCGAAGCCGTGCTGTGTGAGATTCAACGCATCGGAACCATCGTGCCAGTCCACGTACATATGAGCTCTGAAGATACCACTATTGCGGGGTGAGCCCCCTCCACCCAAAAACCAAAACAATAAAACGTATTGCCCATAGGCGAATATTTTATATTTTACGTATTTCTGAAGGTACGTCAATTTTATCCTCGCCAAGCCATCCCTCAGGACAAAATATTGTGGTAGAAAGATCTAATAATTATCTTTTTTTTTAACAAAATTGAAAATCTGACCACCAGAAAAATTAATACCTTAAATGTTCTTATACCCACTAACCGAGTAGATCTTCTGATCAGTAGAGGTCGTTTCGAAAAGAAAAAACTATTCACGTGTTTGCACTCTTGTTTGATTTGATGAAGTTATTGACAAGAAATATTCTTGTAGGATAATGTCATGACACCCAAAGTGTTCCCTAGAAAGCGAGAAGACCTACCATTGACATCATTTGTCTCCCTACACATGCAAATAGTTGCTTTTCGTCATGTGATAGAACAAGCCAGCTCCCACTGTTGTATCGTTATATTTTGTGTCAAAAGGTACAACATCCCCAAAGGTACGATTGTGGCCACTAGCATCTGGCAAATCCACTACGATCCTTTGGTGTGGGAAGAACCCGAAGAGTTCCGTCCGGAGCGATTCCTGAATCAGGATGGCAAGTTCAGGCCTCGCCTGGAATTCATACCGTTTGGAATAGGTGCGTAGTCAAGGACCCATACCTTGAACCCACGTAAAGCGCATCGTCGTAGTTCATTTAACTTTTCCCAAGTTTGTATTATGAAGCCACTTCATTGTGTCCACAAAAAGCTGACTTGAAGTAGACATTACTTCAACATTCTCTCAACTTTTCTGTTCAACATACAACAAATCTTACTGACCGAAGCATTGGCCTTCCTTGACTGCTAAGAAACACGCCAAGTCACATTGTACTCCTTTCTCCTCAGTAGATACCTTAAAATTCTCAAAGTCTTAAAAAATACTTTTTGGAAATGAGGAATCACAAAAATATCAAAGCTGGACGTCTGACAGTTTTAATTAAAAACGGTCAAAACGTTTGATCCACTCAATATCATAATAAAAAAGTCGGAAGATCTTGTGAAAAGGTTTTTGGCAAACTATAACTACACAACAATTTTGCAACTGTTACCACGGTACATGATCCTCATCATTTATGACTACGAGCTGCTTTGAAGGCCTACGAAAAGCGCTTTCAGATTTGATAGGGAAGCGTTGTTTTTATTACCAAGATTTTTTGTCCTTTTCACCTTATTTACCCCTAGGTCGACGCATCTGTTTGGGTGAGCACCTTGCCAAGATGGAGCTCTTCATCTTCTTCACACACTTACTGCATCACTTCACCCTCAAGAAACCTGACCATGTTCCCGTTGTGTCCTTTGAAGGAATACATGGCGTTGTTTGGGCACCGAAAAGCTTCGAGGTCAGCGCGATTGCCAGAGAATGAGACACAAATATTGTCAAAGTTCGCAAATTAATTTTCATGAGAAGTTTATCCTCTTTTAATATGTTAGAAAAATTCGACCAACTATACTGGAAAGCATCTTGTCAAACTTTCACGACATGGGATTTTACGTAAGGAGTTGAGTTACGTTTGAGTTACGTTACGTTTGAGTTACATGAAATAAGCGCGCAGACATTGCAATCGATGTATCACTATCTCCTTACAGGTAAGTCTCAAATATCATCGGAACATGCATGGAAAAGTTTGTTGAATAAGAAACGAAGAAATTGTCTTTTAGTATTTTAGCTATGCTTGTAATCCAAAAGAAAAAACCGCTAGGCCAAGTCACAAACTTTTTTATCTACAGCGCGTGTTGTACACGTGCATGACCTGTGATTGTCAGTCAATCAATTATCTTGGGGTGCCGAGTTTGCATGCCACTATTAAAGACTGTACCTGTTGTATCTTCCCTGAATTCTGGATGTGGGTGGATGGATTGGGTGGGTTGGTGTAAGGGTAGGATGACGATCATATAATAAAAAGGGCGGCCAAAGTTGAAGCTTTTAATGTAACCTTTTCGGCCCTTCCCGAGAGTTTAGACTGATAAACTGGCTCTGTTATAAGGGGACATGACATGGACCAAGCAAAATTCTTCATTATTTTTAGACCCCGTTGTCCCCCACCCCTCTGCCCGATCTGCCAGTGCGTTCATGGGTCTTGGAAAGGGGTAGAAAAGCCTTGGAAGATGTACCAAGTAGCACTGTTCAGTTATGTAGTTCATCTCACCGCTGAAGTAGGTCATGCACTTTGGAAAACACTTCAAGTTGTCTTTGAAATCAGTGAAGGTCGGTCATGTTCACCCTTTGGGTATGAAATGTCTTGCCATTCTTCGATGTCCATGTTAATACAGCCTGGATCACGCATGCGTTACAGACATGTCAGGCATTGTTTTTTTCTAAATATCCGATACCAAGTACATTTCGGGCAATTTCAATAAGCTATCTTGCAGTAAATATCACCCAAAGAAAACTGACTTGCAAAGGTTTTTTCGTACAAGATTTCATAACAGAAATAGAGACAGACTGCCACACCGGGGATTAAAATCGAAAAATAAATGTACATGCATAATATTATACTTACATAATTCAAATTGTTTTGATTTGGCGCTAAGCATAGTAGAAAGGTAGACAACCCAGTTTTAGCTTTCAATTAATTAATGTAGAAATATGACTTTGGCTTGCACATATGTAATTGTTAGAAATGCCTCAATTTGTACTGATTTTGAAATTGTGCTCAAAGCTGATGTTTCTCCATTCATAACAATTGATATAATAATAACACAAGCGCTAACTTGGAAAAAAAAGGAATTTCATCTATAATTGTACATTTTCAGAGAAAATATAGGAGATTCCTCATTAAAAGCATCACACCTGCACGAGGAAGATACTTCTGAGTGGTTTCTCAACTTAAGTGATTACCATTAGGATCAAAAACAAAGCTGTCCGTTGTACGTTATTACTTTATTGCGAACGACTGTGCAAGCCCTGGATCTGTTACTTCTGAACCATACACAATTATTTTTCAGACCACTTAGAAGAAATGAAACCCGAACACGGTTGAGATCCCTTTTATTGTCGAAAATGTAGAAAATTAAGATTATAAATGAAGTAAATCAGCATCAACCCTTTAGATCACTGTATTCAAACCTAGAAAGTTGCCTTGTGGGGAAATGGGAAAAAAATGTGGTGGGGGGGGGGAA